AAATTTGGTTGGCTTTCCATTTTTTTTGGGAATTATCATCCCGAAACGAAACGAAACGAAAAAAAAATTTGGGATTCATGAATCCAACCAAACAAACTCAAATAGAAAAGATCACCAAACCAAACCAAACAAAAACTGAAATGGATTGATGCGGAAAATAGAGAAATGATGATGATGATACTGAATTTAGAGGTTATAATTTTTTTCGTTGTTTAGTTTCGTATCGAGTTCATTCGCTTGAATAATGGCTATGACTTTTCTGCTGTTTTTTTCACTGTTCCAGGATCATCATCATCCGAATGGCTGAAAAAAATGAAAATTCAACTTGGCCAGCCAACGAAAAGACAGAGAAAGTTGTGTGAATTAATTTGAGCGTGATAATAGCTTTTTTTGTTGTTTTTTCTCTGAAAATTCTTTATCTCAATTCGAAAAAACAAAACAAAAAAATGTTATCATCATCATTATGATGAATCAAATAAATGCGTTAGATGAAAACATTATGGGCAAAATAAAAAAAAATTTCAATCATAAATCGATTGATTTCGAATCGATTTTTTTTTTTGAGAAAAAAAATCAAGTAAGTTATCATCATCGTCACCTCTCAAAGTAAAAAAGACTGAAATCACTATATCGCGGGTCATCATTATCAACAACAACAAACAACAATCATTATCATTATTTGACCAATTTGTGTCGATTGTCGATCATCATTACCATTATCATTATCATCATCGACAACAACAACAAGCAGTAATAATAGTAAGAGAAAAGATGGCAATTTGTATTTTTGGTCGGAAAAAACACTTGCTGTTAAAATAGTTATAATAATAGTATAGTCTATTAGATCATCATCATCATAATCATCATCATCAAGATGATAGCTTTTTTTATTCTTTGTCTTGAAACACACACAATTAGAATTAATAGACATAATATCTTGCTATTAAAGTGCATCCCATTTTGTTTTTTTGTTGGTTGAAAACAATTTTGTTACAATTGAAAAAAAAACAAAAGGGTTTTCCTTTTGCTCCCTCAACCACCCATATAACAACGACAATTTTTCCACTAATTCGAAACAATTAAGTATCATCCAACGGAACAAAGAATATTATGCCGGAAGCTTAATAACAAAAAAACGAAGATTTTTTTTGTAATGATGGTGGTGTTGGTGGTTGATTTTCATCAAATGATAAGGGTGTCAATTTCAACCAGGAAAAAAATCTAATTAAAAATCAATGTTAAAAAAAGTATCATTTTTTGGAATGATGTTTTCGCACTTCAGCAAACAAATAAAAAAAGAAAGATGATGAATTCAATGTGAAAACAGAACTAAACAACCAACAACCAAATCGAAATCAAATTGAAATCAAATCGAAAGAGAAAATGCCAGCAGGCAAAAGACAAAAGATCAACTTTGCAGAAATAAAATAATAATAACTTTCCCATCATTTTGGAAACGAAAAAACCCGAAACAAAGACAAAAGAATTGAAATGAATTCAAACGAGAAAGAATCATCATCAACAACATTCACAATAATACAAAGAATGTGAAAAAGGCCAAATCAAGATAAAGAATATATCAATTCAATTCATTATAAAGTTTTTCGATTGTTTCGAAAACCCGAGCAAAAAAACAATAGCAAAAATGAATGAGAAAATGATGGAAAGTTTTATGAATTCGATTCAATACACCAGCACAAATACACAGACAGAACAATGGTTATCATTATTTTCAACTATTTTCACTCAAACAAACTTGATTCAATGTTATATTTTTTTTGTTCTGGGTTCCATTCAACCCAACAGAGAAACAAAAAGATAGATAAGATAGATAAAGATGGGAATTGTAAAAACAAAACAAAAAAATGAATCGAATCAAAAACATCAATGATGATGATGATGGTAAAAGAAAAAGAAGAATCCATTCAAAAACATCAGAGTGAGGAAATCCTTTCGTTGGCCTCATCCTGCAGGATAAAATCAATTAGAGAAAATTAAAAAAAAACGAAAACAACGACCATAGAATTGAATTGAATGAATGAATGAAAAAAAATTTAATTGTACTCAAGAGTTTCAGTTCACCACCATGGTATCATGGAGAATTACAAACATTTTAGGGAAATTCTCTCAGAATTGGAGAAAAAGAAAGATAAAGAATTTTTGGTTGGTTGATGTGTGATAGAATCAGCTGTCTCTCGATCCATTCATTCAGCTTTACATTGGATAAGGGAAGGTTCCAAAAACAAAAAAATGGCTCACAGTTTTTCCCTGTTTTGGAACCTTGGTTCCATTGAATGAATGAATGAATGAATGGTAGAAAAGGAGAAGGGAAGGGAAGAGGAAAAAACAATTAAAAGCTTTTTCATTTCGTTGAGGAGAGAGAAAAAAACAACCCAAGAGAAATGAATGAAATGAAAATGAAAATGGTGTGAATGAAAAAGATAAGAGTTTGGTTTTTCATTTTGTTCGTTTTGGCTGTTCAAGTTGGCCATGTGACGCACACACATATCTGGATTTAACAGCAACGAAAACGATTCCTGAAAATTTTTTGAAAAAAAGGTTCCAGAGTTTATAATAATAATAATAAGCCAAATATATCAAACACCAAACACTTGCAATGTAAAAAAACAACAACTGGAAAAAAGATGTGAAGATAAAATTAGAAATTTTGATTGACATTTTGGCTTTATATTGGGTAATATTTGTATTTTCAAATGAATCTAGTAGCTGGAGAAAAGTTTACGGGAAAAATTAAATCCACCAACATCGTTTCTTTCCTTCAACAGCTGTAGATGATTATTTCGACACCATCAGGACGATTACCAAAAGAAAGATGTTCGTAATTTCCGATTTTTACAACAAAGTTTTTTTAAGCTAGCTAGAAAAACTTTGGACGATTCGATTTGATTAGAATGACGTTTTTTTCGATATGAAAAAAATGCTATTCACAAAGAAGAAAATTGAATGAAAGAAATTATCTTTGACCAGAAATGAAAAGAAAATGACCAAACAATGATGATGATGCAACAAACAAACACAGGGCGCAAACAATCAATCAAACTAAATGTATTTTGACTTTTACTCCCAAACACACACACCATTCAAAGACCAGTTTTATTTGATTTTGAAGACTGGGAAAAACAAGCAACCGAAAAGAAAAAGATCAATGTGCCAAACAAACAAAAAACAAAACAACCAAAACGAAAAAAAAGTTACAAACAAGATAAGTTTGTAGCTATTTTGGTAAGTTTTCTTTTTGTTTCAGATTCTGGTTCTTTCAGAATTCTGTTTGTCTGAAATGATTTGAAACAAAGAAAAACTAGTTTGAGAAAAACAAACAAAAACCAAAAACCAAGGCCAGAAAAGATAAAGAAAGTTCGTTTGACTGATTTTGAATGGAAAGAGAAATTCTGAGATGGATTCTGGATGTGATCCATGTTTCTATCAACTGAATTGAATTAGAAAACAGAAAAGAAAAGTTGCTCATCATCATCGAACAACGAAAAAAAAACTGAGACACACCAGATAAACATGTTGGTGATGTGGGCCAAAACAGATATACACAAAAAAAAATCTCTGTAAAAACATGGAAAAGATTCCATCATGATGATGGTAAAATGAATTCAAAAAATGAAACAACAAAAAAACAAAGTTTTCGAACAAAACAAGAAAACCAGATAGCATGGCGCCAAATAAGCGCAAGTGAATTTCATTTCCCTTCCACCATCTTTCCCTCCTTCACCAGAAACTAAAAACACATGACATCCATTCACCCTGTATGTTATGCTGTTGTTTAGGCAAACAATTTAATCAAACTAAAACACGACGACCGGTTCCATCGATTCGATCCACCAACATCCAACACATCACACATCAGCCTTAACGACAAAGAATCGACCAAAAAAAACGAAAAAAATGATGAGCCTTTTTTCTCTGTTTTGGAACAACCAGAAATAGGAACCAAAAACAAAAAAATCATCCAAGCAAACAACAACAATATCATCATCGTCATCAAACACCAAAAACTGACTAACTAACAAACGAAAAAATACATCCAGATCTGTGTTGTTGGATCTCGACAAAATGAAAAGAATCCTAAATACACACACACATAGTGTGCAAATCTAATTATTATGATGGAAAAATTATTCCTACAGAATCATCATCATCATGATGACAACGAATCATATCCAAACAAAACAAAACGGAAAAAACATGAATAATAATCATGTTTACATAAAAATGGAAAATATGAGGATAATCTGCATAATAATATCGATCATCCTCATCATGTTCTACTGATAATGACGGATTTTCGGTTATATTTAGGCGCAGAAGCAGAAATTTTTATGAAAAAAATTATCATCATCATTGATTCATTTCATTCATTTTTGATATGAAACAAAATATTTTTTTTCACATAAAGAAAGAAATATAGCCAAAAAACCATTCATTCATTCCAGAAATTCCTCGAATTATTATTTTTTGTCACCAGAATATATACGGATAGAACATGGTTATGGTTTGTTTTCCTTTGATCTTTTCACTGAATATGAAATGAATTTGTGGAATGTCAAAATGTACAATATTATTTAATAATAATAATATTTTTTTTTTGATCAAAAAGCAAGAGAAAAAACTCCTGATCCGGATATTAATGATAATGATGAATATAAAAAGCTTTTCACTTTCCATAATAATATTCATGGTCAAATCATGTTTTATCAATTTTCAGGAATGATAATCATTATCGATCGATCGATTGATAGAACAAAATTTTTGCTATTAAATAACAATTTGATGCATATTTCTTTCTTCCATTATCCTGCTGTTCTAATGGATTCTTACATTCATTCATAATTTAATCATCATCATCATAGTTGAATGGTCCTTCAACAAAAAATCCATCAAATTTTTATCATAATCAAGTGCGTGGGTGTATTCAAAGTGAAGAAAAAGAAATAAAGAAATATTCAATCAAAAATTAAAAAAATACATACCAGTCTTTTCTTTGATCTCACAGAGGACGCTAAAAAGCGCATGTCGCATACGATGACAATATAACGTATGTTTTCTGAATAGGAAAAATAAAATTAAAAAATAAAAAGGATAAATTAGTTTAATTTTTTAAAAGAAAATTTGAAAATCATAAAAATGATTAGCGGTTAATTTTTTTTATTATTTCAGGGAAAAAATCAATATCCAAACTAACCAAAAAATAAACGATATTTACAATGTTAAATCAAGCAAACACACAACATTAACAAATTTTGTTTGCAGAAAACAAAAATCAATTTCCATTATGTTATTTTCTGGTTGAAAATGATGATCATCATCATAATAACCATACAAAGAGAGAGAGAGAAACGATACGAAAAACACTTATTCCGATTGAGTTAACTGTATTTATTCTTTGAAAACGACGTAACGAACAAAAATCCGGTTACCGTGTGTTTGAGTTTCACTGGTCGGGTCGGGTGTATCCCGGTTATTATTGTTATTATTGCGTGTGTGTTTATGTGTGGTGTAACCAAGCAAAATGTTTTTTCGGTTTTCAGTTTTCCAAGTTTTTTTCGGCCAAATAAACAAACAATAACAATAGAATCAGATCCAACAACAACAACCAAAACCAAAAATTCAAATCATAAATGTTTTGATGCGGAATGGATATTCTTATATAATACTTGTGAGTGCGGGGGAGGATAATGTGTGTGTGTGGTTTTTGCATCCATTTCTTAAGTTTAATAGAAAATGGAAAGACTATCATCATCGCCATCACCACACACGAAGTAATTATTCGATAGAAAATTATTATTCTTTTCGATAACAATTTTTGGGTAATGAGAATATTTGTTGTTTTGTTTTGTTTTGAAAATTTTGTTTTGTTTTGTTCAATGTTTTTGGATGAAACCAAAAACACATTACACACACAAACTATTATTTCATTGAACTTTTTTTTCTTCTTCTCACTCTGTATGTTTGGTTTTTTTGCCATGAAAATAATAATAACATCCTTATAACCAAAAAAAACGAAGAATACGAAATGATGAAAAATCCATATGCAAAAAAAGACAAACAAAACAAACACACAGAGAAAATGTTGAAATGTTTGATCATCATCATCACGAAATAACTATTGTAGTTTCTCAAATGTTCATTTTTTTCAATAATAAACACCATTACGAGAATGAGAAAAAAAACAGAAATATAAATATGGTGTGTGTAAGTTTGTTGTTTTTGTTTGATGCTTAAATGTTTTGCACAGGGAAAACAAAACAAAAACGAAAAAAAAAATCCAAAAGTTTTCTCAGCTTTAAAGCTTTTTTTTGCTAGAATTGTGTTTTCAAATTTTAAAGAATTTTTTTTAATGTTTTGCTTTTTGCTGAATAGTGTGTATGTTTTTGTTTTTGGTGTTTGCGAAAATCCCAAAAATAGATTGATTTTTTTGTTGTTTTTATTTTATAAAATAAATAATCAGCGAAAAGAATGAAGAAAATTTCATTGAAAAAATAAATTCAATTTTTCCTTTTCGAACGAAAATTGTCAATCAAAAAATCCACATATCAAGTAACCGGGACTTTATAAACATAAATTATAAAAAAAACTGATAAAGATGACGTAGGAAACAAGAAAATGATGGATTAAAAACTATTCAAGTAAAGGTATCATCATCAACAATACAATAATGATAATGTTGACATCATCATCATCAACATCACACTTAATTAATTAAGAAAAAAAAGATTAGACACAAAGCCATCAATAACAACATCAGTGTAAACTCAGCCCATTCTTTAGTTATAACGTTATTTTTTAATTTAATAACGATAAATAAATCGGTAACATCCTTGAAACTAAAATAATACATTTACATTGTTATTATTATATAGTGTCATTTATCAATTATAATCATTCAACAACAATAAGATTATGATGAAAAGCATGATGATTATTGTAAATAATTAATTAACTAAATTTAAAAAAAACCTTATAGTCAACCTAACCTAACTTGACTATAAGTTATGGTCATCAACCTAACCTCACTCAACTATGAATTACAGTCAACTTTTTCGGTAATCAAATTTCAATGTGAAATTTTTACCATCATCATCATCTGGTGACCATTTTTTTTAGTCATTAAGACACATGTGTGAAAGCCCAAGAAAAAAAAGAAAAAATTTCTGGTTCACACCATTCCAAAAAAAACCACCATCACCAATGATATGATGCTTAATTATGTAGCCATTCACAAAGATGAAGAACTAAGAAATCTAATGATCATCATCATCAGGCTATCATATTCATTACAGACAGAAAAATATTCATCAATCTTATTATATCTCATCCGTATGACAATAATAAGTAAGATTTTTTTCTTTAAAAACATTGATTGATTAGCCAACAACCACCAAGACGATAATTTAGTTTTCTTTTTGAAAAATGTACAATATTCATTTTGATGATCATCAACAAGGACAACAAGCAGCAAAAGCGACAAAAAGTGTCAACTTTTTTGATTATCGCATAATAGATTCTCTCTTCTGATTAGAAAGATTTACTTGAAAAAAAGATTCTCTTCTTAGACTCGGCCGAAGAAGAATGAGAAAAAGGAATCCAGAATCTGATACTGTGCAAAAGAAAAGCGAATCTTTTTTGTTTCTCGTCGTCGTCGTTTGCTAAATTTAGCAACTTGAAGAAAACGAAAAATTTTCAAAGTTGAAAAATAAAAATTCAATTTGAATTTTTGGCTACAAAAAAAAAATTTTGATGATGCGAATCAAAGCAAAGTTGAGAATATTTCTTTAGTTTGCTTTTTCTCAAAAAGTATTTTTAAATTGTAGAAAAACGAAAACGAAAATTGTAACAATTTTTTTCGTCGTTTGCTTGCCTTCAGTTGTCATCATTTGATGATGATGACGACTAAGACATTTTTAAACATCGAAAAAGCACGGAAAAATGGTGAATGAACCACCACCAGCAGAATGTAAAAGAATCTTTAACATTCTCTTCAAATTCGGTTCAGGTTCGTTTGTTTGCCATAATTTTTTTTTCTTTCTAAACTTTTTCACCATAAGAAATGCGGAGGATTGGAATGTCTTTTTCTTTCAAGAAGAGATATCAATTGAATCGAAACCAAACCAGAAAGAAAAAAGCCAAAATCTAAAAATCTCCTACACATCTTATTCAAAGATTAGCATCTTATAAATCTAAAGAAAGAACAACAACAAAATCTAAATCTGTCTTCACCCGAACAAAATTATGTCGCAATCAAAGCAAAAGCAAAGCAAACATCAATGATAAATGCGAATACTTTTATTTTGAATGCCAAATTCATCATTCAATTCAATTCATTAATAATAATGATGATGATTATCAAAACAAAACAAATCTTAAAAAAATCAACAATGGAAAATGAATAATTAAAAAATGAAGAATCCAATCATAATAAGGAAAACGTGAAATAGAATCCCGAATGAAGAAATATCAACACATCTTTCTTCACTTCACTTTTTCACACAATTGATTGTCATCAACAATAGTGTGTAGTGGAAGAAGTAAAAAATAAAACATCAATCCATCATCGGTATGTCATTGTGAAAAAGAATATTCTTATCATTCAAATAAATAAATTCTCCATCCGACAGATCATCAATAATGATTACTAATTGAGCATGAAAATGAATGAAAATCAACAACCGAATCTGAATAAGAATGATGATCATCTTGATGTTGATCATCAACAAGTGTTTTTATTCATTCAAGTAAAAAGCAAGAAAAAACCAATCCATCTCAATCAAATAATGAAGACAAATAAAACGAAAATACGCTATATTGATATGACACACCGTTCGTTTTAAAAACCGCAATAAAAATAAAATAAATGAAAAATCATTGTTATTCAATCATTACATTCATTCATTCAACACTATAAACAATTTAAATTGGACAAATGATGAACGAGTTTTTTTCACAATTCAAAACAGCCAAGCAAATGGTAAATGATGCTTGTCATCATCATTATCATCGAATAGCCAAACCTCTCTCTATATATAACCTTGGAACATTGTTTGAGCAAGCAACAGATGTGTCATTAAGAAAACAACAAGGATGACCTTTAAAAATGATAATAAAAAAAGTTTCAACAGAAAGAATAATAAAAATTTGTCACAACCACCCACCATGGTCTAATCAACAAACTGAATGAATTTGACTGATTGAAAACTCATCATAATAATCAATTCAAGCAAAGTCAAGTGATCTTGTCATTCAAAAATTTTTCCATGAAAATTATTGTCAATGTTATCACTGTATATCTTGGTTGTTAATGAGCCAAATCTTTATAACTTTTTCCTGTGTTCAATTGGATTTTAACCAACCGAAACAGAAGAACAGAAAAAACTAAAGAAAAACAAGGTAAAATGAGCCATTCAATTCATTGATTTTTTTGGATCATTTTTTTGGTGAATGAAAATCTCAAATTACCAAATCCAATAATAGTTTATAGCCCGAAACCAAAAGCAAATCAACCAAACCAATAACAACAACAACGACTATGTTTTATTTTTGTTCATTCAAATCATTGTATAATGGTGGTTGTTTGTTGTTAATCTTGTTAAATTTTTTTAAAGAAAAAAATATGACTTGTAAATTGAAATTTGCAACAACCACCTGAACAACAATAGCCACAAAAATTGAAAGAAAAATCAATCGATAGTGTTCAATGACGAATCTCCTTACACAAAAAAATCCAATATTGAAATTGAAATTGCGAACAAGCAAACGAAAGAGTAATTAAGAAATAATCAAAAAAGCATTCTTTTCTTGCCACTTTTTCTTCTTCGTCGTCTTGGAACAAATGTGCCAACACAAGCGAAAAAAATGCGAGTGAAAAAAATTTTGGGTTCCAATTGATGAATAACAATTGAAAACAAAAAATTTTCTAGCTTGGTTTTTTGGCTTTTGGGTGGAACCATTCATTCATTCATTTTTACCATAGCCATTATCATTATTAACCATAACCTTATTTTTTTTTATTTCAAAAAAAAACAACCACCACCAACACTAACACTAACACCAACCAACATTACCATTTTTTTTCTTTCGATAATGATAATTTTCATTTGGGATCAATCTTTTTTTCTTCTCTCTTTTGATCAATCATAAACGATAACGACGATAAAAGCTCAGCAAAAAAATCAAGATTGAAAAACTAAATTTCTTGTTTCGTTTCTTTCATTCTTGATTTGTTCCATTCCATTGGAACAAATGAAAAAAATTATTGTTTGTTTCATTTTTTGATTATAAAGGTCATTGGAACTAAACTATAGATCTGTATAACGTGCTATTCAAAAGAAGACAATGAAAACATTTTTATATAGGCAACGAAATCAGCAAAATAAAAAAGGTACCCAACCAAACAAACCAAGCCAAATTTTTTCTATTTTCTCTGAAATCTCGTACCAAATGTTGCGCGCCAAAAAAACTGTTGTATAGGGTGGTTCATATTTTTTTCTGTTGGGGCTAGCTACATTTTCGTCAACCAGAGAATTCAAAGAGAGAGAGAAACCTGAGACAAACATACATTTCGACCATCAGATGTGTGTGTGTGTGTGGTTCACACATATTTATTTCGAATGAGAAAAAAAGAGAGCAACTGGGTCCATTTTGGAAAAAAATTCATTCCGTTCCCCAACTGTGAAATGAATGAAAAAAAAACGAAAATTTTGTGTAGCGAATTTTTTTCCATCCAGAGACATAGGGTCTCCCCCTTGCTTTTGTTGACTGACTTTACTTGACTGAAATGAAAATAACTGAAAAAAACGACAATTGTGACAAGCAGCAAATGTGCCATGCCGGACATACAGCAACCAAACAAGAACACAATGTGTCAATCTCCCGCTTCTCATCATTATCATCATCATTCCCCATATAGCTTTTTTTTGACAATATTTTCTTCAAAAAAATAAAATTGTAAATGCAAAAATGACTGACATTGTCTCCCTCACACATACACACACACGAATACAATATGTTTTTTTTTCATTTGTTCAATCAAACAAAGTCAGTCACATAAATACACAAAGTTTGAATTTTTTTTTTTGAAAGTCAAATTCATGAGAAACATGAAAATTGACTTTTTTTTGGTTGTCGATATTATGATGATGATGACGATATTTAACTTTGTCGAAAATTGTCCAAGGTCTTTTTTGTCTGATATTTTCTTAAAGAACGAAATCTGGAATCAGAAATTTTGAATGAAAACAGAGTTACACCAGTCAAATGACTATTTATCGGAAATAACGTTTTTTTCATAATTTTGGTTATTGTTGACTAATTTTTGAAATTAACTAAAATTAAACCAAATAATCAATAACGACGACAATTTGCCAACATATTTCCATCATTAAATTCAGACAAAAAGTTTGAACATTGACCTCTTTCATTGTAATAAATGTTTGAAAGTGAATTTTGTTCCATTGAATCAAATGATTCAACGGATACAACGAGAGAACAAACAATAGAAATGTACAAATGGGTTATTGCTAATCTTTGAATTTGGAAACAACCAAGCAAAACAAAACAATTATTATGATAATAAGTCAAACAGTTTTTTTCTGTGGGGAAGCCTAGCTAGCATACATTGATTTTGGAACAAAACTGACTTCAATTCAATAAAAACAAAACGGTTCTTTTTTGTAATTTGGCCAATAAAACATACCTTGCTTGTGCTTCATCTAATGATTGATCAGTAATATTCATAATTTGTTGTAATATTTCATTAATATCATGGCGTGATGTTAAAGAACCACCAACAGTACCGGTTTGATGATGATCTACAATACCAGGTGAAATACCTGGTGGTACTAATGATAAACCACCAACGGATGATGGTGGTTGTGTGGTTGATGATTGGCTAACGCCATCAAGCGGACTACCATAATGTCCGCCAACGATGGCGTTTGTTGACATAATGTGGGAAATCGTTTTCGGTCGATTTTACGTGGAGATTTTTGATGAAAATTAAATGATATTCAAGATGATTTATTAATTAATTAAGCAATTAATTAATGGCGATCAATCAAGTTTTAAATGATCTTCTTCTATGTTGATTTAAAACATAAAAAATTTCATCGTTGAAAACAATATTGACACCCACGCACAAATACACTGATTACACACAGACAGAATGATTTTAAACACTTTTCAAAAACAAAACAAAACAAACGAAAAAATGAAGAATTGAAAAAAAACTAATGATATTTTTGAAATTATCACACTTGATGATGATTAGGATGATGTTGAGAATTGATGATGATAAACATTGCACATTTAGATGATGATGACGATCAAGAACAAAAACAGATGATTATTATTATTAGGATGATGATATAACATTTGCTTTGATTTGGATCAGCAACAAGTTGATGATGATGATAAAATCAATTTGCTGAACGATAAATGAAAATTTGAAAAAAAATTGAAGATAATAAATGTGGCCAAATCGGCATCAGTGTTGTCGGCGGCGAAGGCTTTGTAGCCCAAAAATATTTTTTTCCCGTTGTCTCTAATGATGATGATTGATAAATTTTTCAATAGAAACACACACCATATACAGAATTTGTGGAAATCAAAATTGGCCAAATTGATCGAAACGATATAAAAATGATTGAATGAAATAAAATAAGGATATTATTAATAACCACAATGATTATGATGATGATACATTATGCATTATGTGGTTGAATGGTGATTACTTTCCAAAATGACATCATCACTGTGTTAAAGGATGTCGTTTTATGGGTCGATGTTGGTTTGTTTGTTTGTTGGATCGACAACGATTTTCATCATTCGTTAATCTATAAAAGAATGAAAGCAAAAACAAAAAGCAAACATTAATCATTTGAATTTAAATGAATGTTGAAATCAATTCTTTCAAATAAAAATACATTTTCCATTTTTAATAAAAAACAAGTACACACTATACATGTTTCTTTTGAAAGACAGTTTCATTCACTTTCAGCCAAAAAACAAACAAGTATGATTCCAATGAATATAAAATGAATACACACACACATTCCCCTTTTTTCTTGTTCACAAAGTGATGATATGTTTCTTTAATTACAACTCCCATTCGAAATTATCATTTGCACCAAACACAGTAAGATATGAAAGGCAAATAAAATAAACAAAATACAAAAATACAAAATTTTTTTTGGCGGCATATCAATCATATAAACAACAACCACTATTGAATAAATTGAATGATAATGGTAATGATGACAACAACCAAGTTAAATCCTATATTGTAATCAATTGAATGCAATGAAATTATGAATAATCATAATTCAATTCATTGATTAAATTCAGATTCATCATCATTATCATTATTATCATTAAAAAGCCATAAATTTATTTTGGAAAAAATCGCTTTCATCATCAAAATGCTTTTCTTAAAAACAAGATGTTTCCAAATCGATAATTTTTTAAAATTTTCTTTAATAATTTTTTGTTTTTCTATAGCAAAAAAACATCCTATAAATTTGTCATCATAATTTTTGATTGTTTGTTGGTGACATACCGCCGCCATTCCACTAGAAAGAATCCAAATTTTTTATTTACCGAAATAAAAAATTTTCTTTTCTCTCATTGACACACATATATTTCGCTTTCTTTGATTAAGATTTATGTCATAAATTTTTTTTAAACAGCATCCACAATAATAAAAAAAATGCTAAAAAACAAACAAAAAAATACTACCTACACTGACTGTAACTGTGACTTTTTCACTTTATTTTGATTATGTCAATATTATCCAAATACACACACATCACAAACAAACAAAAAGACTTGTTGTTGTTCAAACTCAATCGATTGATCGACCGAATTTTTTCCTTGTTTGACCAGAAATTTTTCAAATGAAATTTTCATTTTTAACTTTCTCTCTTTTTCTTGGCTGAATAAACAAATCGCTTAAAAAAATATTTGGAAATTTGAAAAATTGCAAATCAAACACACATGTGCAAATGGCAAAAGATGTCATTTTTATTCACATTTGGGAAAAAAATATAAAGTTTTTTTTCAAATAAAAAAGTCCTTAATCCTCGCCATTCGTGGATTAAAAACTTGCCCTGACTTATTATCACTTTTTGTGATTCAAAGTAAGCAAAGAAAGAAAAAATTGTTGTCAGATCAGATCAGTGAGTTTTTAGTAGAAATTTTAAATTTTCATTCGATAAAATAACACCTATCTTGCTAAATATCTAAATATTTCGGGAAAAAAAGAAAGATTTTTTTTGGCATAATTTTTTCATTTTCACTTTATCACATTCAATATCACAGGCAGCAGAAGTTTGATTTTTTCAAGTATGAAAAAAATGTGAAAATTGATTTCGTTTTCGTTGTTGAAAACTTGTTTCTTTCATCATCATCATCATCATCGTTTGGTGTTTTTATCAGTTTATTTTTCCTTCATTCTATTCATTGCACTAGGAGAAAACATTCGCGAGAATTTCCTGTTTTTTTCTTTTTTTCTGGTGAAGATAACCAAAAAACCAAACTTAAACAGTAGCACCTTAAAGCCAGCAAAAAGATGAAAATGTTTGGCTATCAACAACGATCATCATCATCACGTTGTCACACACACACTCTGTAAATATACCTGGCCAGAATTTTTTTTAGTTAATTTGTTAATTGACAAACATAAAGTGAAAAACAGAAAATCTGGAAAGTGAAAAAAATCAAAATCTATCATTTAATCAAGGTAAAACGAAGCTACACAGGTAAATGTTGTTGTTATCATTCGAAATATCGTTTGAATGATAATTATCCTCCAGAAAAAAAAACTTGAATATGAAAAAACGAATGAAAATATTTTGCCTTATAAAGCCAAAATTCGTCCGTTTCATTTGGTTTGATTCATTCATCCATAAAGGTGAAGCTTTTTATCAAACTTTTTTTTAAAAAAAAACTTAGCAAACCAACACATAGAAAGATTATGATGATAATGATGATGATATGTGAATTTTCACAACCAGAATTTCCATGTCAAAAAACTTTTTTTTTGTTGAAAAAATCATATAGAAATCATTGTCATCATCATCATTATTACATTACAATGGGAAAAAACGGATACCTTGATTATCATTTAGTGTTATCACCACCACAACAACAACAACAAACAGCAGACAACAAAGATTCAATGTCAAGATTTTCATGAAAAACAATAAAAACAAGAAACTAACCAAAATGGTTGTAGACATCATTATTTCATTTTCCATCATCCACTTCAACTTTCTCCCCAAAAAAAAAGAAAACAAAACCAGCAAGCAAGCAACCATTAAACATCGAGAGAAAGAAAAAATGAAAATTTATTCATAATCATAATGATCATGATGAAAGGATTGTGTATGGATGGATGGGGTAAAAAAAGACAATCGACATCATCATCATCATCAATATAAACATTTTCTTTTTAGTTAGAATGTTTCACGTTTTTTTCAAAATCATCATTTGATGATGATGAACAACAAGGGTAGACAATTGTTTTCGTACTTGCTTTCTTAATGATTTTTTTCCAAATACGAAAATCATCATCATAATAGACTAACCAAACATTGCAACAGGGCAGAAACGTTTTGCAAACAAACGAAAAATCAAACACAAAATATTCACACAGAGACAGAGACAGGAAGAATGAACATTGGATAAAACAAAGACAATTTTCAAAAAGGTAAATTTTTTTCAATTTTCATTTCAAGTTTGTTTTGTTCTGTAACCAACATGGAGAGAAATATCTCAAAAACCACAGAAAAAACTGAACTGAATGTTTCTTTCTTTCTCGTTTGCTTGAAACATGCATCAATAGCATCAACAACAACAACAAGTAAAAGTTTTGGTCGTCGACAAATGATAATATGAATGACTTCATGCAGTGAATTGTAAATAATCATCACCATCATTCGAAGAAAAACTAAAATAATCTTTTTCTTTGCAACAAGAACATCATCATCATTTGAAAAGCAATGAATAAATTTCATTCAAATGAAATGAAATGAAATTAATAGGAAAAGACAACACCCACATTGTTTATATGATGATAGGATTTTTACATTTTTCATTTGAAATTCTCAGGTGCATCAAGATTTTTTTTTTTGAGATTCAGGATTACTTTCAAATAAAGATGTTATATTCTCACTAATCTTTCTTACACTCAGTATAATCATATTTTTTCTACAAAATCATCATCATCATCATTATCATCATAAGCATTTTGATTAATTAATAAATTCAGCAGAAACGAAAAATATGATTAATACATCTTTTAATCACATAAACATTATCTCTCTCTCTCTATCTGGATTCGGATTTGTATTGAATATTTATGAAAATCTCCTTCCAACGAAAAAAAAATCAACATCATCATCATCATTCATACAACCAATCAATGTGATCAATCGATAATGAATTAATTGATGGTTTTCCAATGAAAACAATGATATTTTTTTTGAAAAACAACAACGAAAAAATTATTTTGTCATCATCATAGGTGTACGATGATCATCATGATGAAACAATCGACAGTGGAACAAAAACAAAATGATAATCGATTTGATTCACTTTCAATAAAAATCGAATAGAAAACTAAATTCAATGATGATGATAATGATGATTTTCAAATCATACGACACACACAGACAAAGAAACACGAAATGATGATATTTGTTATCGTCAATATCCTGTTCTATGTGACAATCATCGGTTACGGTGATTATCAATAATCGACGATTGCATTCTTTCATCTACCAATAACATACCAATATTGTGTTTTTTGTCATTGTCATTTATTTGTACAGATGATGATGATGAAAAGAAGAATATTAAAATGAAAACATTGAATGTTATTTCCCTCCAATGTCAATCAAATCAAATTCAATTCCACTTTCAAAATTCATCGGCGGAAAAAATTCTTAAATCAATAACAACGCCATCTACCGTCAATCGATATCACTTATTTATGATTCTTTGATTCATTATTTTTGCTAAGATTTTTTTCTGGTTTGTTTCAAATAATTAATGATGATGAACAATTTTAAACAAGGAGAAAAAATGAATAAATTTTTCTTTAAAAACTAACAACAATGGTCACCCTAACCATACATTTAACCGGGCAAAATGTAACACGAAAATTATGGAGGATGATTTCCTAAAAAAATAATGGTTATTACATAACGCCAGTCAAAAACTAAACCAACCGAACATCATTTAAGAGAAAGAAAAAAATTTTACAATCATCATCATCGCTAATGTGTGTGTGTGCGTAGATGGTAAGAATCTAAACACATAACAAACAATACAAAAAGAACATTCAAAACACACACACAACAAACACATCATAAATCATTCACCAAACAACAAACAAAAAAATATGGATCATATGTCGCCCATAACATTGTTGTTGTTATTTGATTTTCATTGCCCATTTATAGCTTGTTGCTTTTTTATTATTATTTTTACAATGATCATTATTATGATTATGGCTCTTTTTTAAACAATTTTCATTCATTCATGATTCTTGTTTGTTTGTTTTTTTTGGGAATTTTTTTTTTGTTCATTGTTTGGTTCATCACCCTTATTCAATAATTTTTCCGGAAATTTTTTTTAATTTTTCTTCAAATAAACAAAAATTTGTTTAATGAAATTTTCTGAAGTGAAAAAATCTTTTAACAACAGGTATATTTGTTTGTCAAGCCATAAAAACACACACAAAGAATTGGACAACAAGAACAAAACAAAAAACAAAGTAGCTTAAAAACAAAAACTAATCACATTTCAAAATGAATGAAACAGGTAATAAAAAAAATAAATATTCTTCAAAACAAAAAAACAGGAAGAAAAAAGGTATTACACAAGGTAAAAATATAATCAGGGATTATTGATTGTCAATCGAATATCGCCTTTAGGCCGTTTAAAGACCACACACACTTAATGACAATAACAACAATGATGATCACGATGACAATCGAAAAGAAATACACACACAATTAGAAAATCTTAATTCACTGAAAACACACCTGAACTGAACTGAACGAAATGAAAATCTTACCTTTTCTTTGAAGATAGATAGGGTTGAATGATTTGATTTTTTTTGATGAAAAATTAAGTAATTTAAAAAACGAAAAATGAATTAATTAATGCAATTTTAAATTTTCCAAACACACCATCAACAAAACACAACACAGAAAGATAATTGTTGTTGTTATTATTATTCAACAGACAAAAACCGGTCGATTAAATTATCAAATGATCAATTATCATGATAATAATTGATTTCAATCAATCAATCAATCAATCGATTCGTACAGGTGAATTTGATTGATTCAATTTTGACAAACAAATTTAATTTTTTAATATTTAAATTGACAGATTGATTTTGTTGTCATAAATTCAGAGCAGTAAATACTCTCACTGATTTATTTATTTTTTTGTGGAAAATAGTGTTGATCAAAAACATAATCAATTGATTATGATGATGATGGATAATATCTTCTTTTCACTGAAAAAGAATCTGTCGTCTAAGCGTGTGTAGAAAAATGTCGACGATTATTATTTGTGATTGATGGATGGATTTTTGTTGTTGATGTTCGGTTGAATGTTTTGGTTGTTGATGTTTTGATGGAAGAATATTATTATTTGTATTGAATTAAAGCAAAAATAAAAATGGAAATTTTTTTTTTTGGTGCGGCGACAAGACAGAAACACACTGTGTGTTTGTTTGTGTGTGAGAGAGATGGATACATCAACGACGGCGGGAGCGTATATAATGCATACAGCGAAAGAGAGAAACATCAACAATAACAACAGACATCAACAATCATAAATAGCAGCATAGATTAATGAACCAATTCTGATCAACAAGAATCGAATGAAAGAGAAAAGCAGACAACAAAAAACTCTCTTGACAGCAGTCAATCAATGTGTGTATGATACGTATGAGCAAAATGATATGAATGAATTTTGCTTGTGTAATGAAAGTCGGTATTCGAAAGAGAGAGAGAGAGGTCCGTGTTCAATCATTGTTCGGTTAGGTTGGTATCCAACTTATCAAACAAAATAAAGAAAGAGATAAAGGTAGAGGTAGAGAGATCCCGTTGGTATCCGCAATGCTACTACTATTCGAGGATAATCGTAGTTTCCAACAATTCAAATTGGTATAGAGGTATATTTGTTGAATGAAATGTAAATGTTTCCAAGCAAAAAAAAAATGGAGGGGTAGTGGAATTATTGAATACTGGATTCATGGATCCACGAATCACACCACTACCACAATGTTCCTGTGGTGTGATTCAAACATACATATCTCTATACTACTATCAAATTGATTCGAACAACAAAGATCCTGGTTGGCGCGCATTTCATTCAAAACTATGCATGCATGCAGGATTTGTTTTCGTTATCTAAACAGCTGCTGCTGCTGTTTTTTTTTCTGGTATCCAACAAAAACACGGGGCGACCACGAGGAATCCATCGATGTGTATATGTCTTTCTCTCATCAACAATAACCAGAAAAAAATTTTGGTTTGCGCGCGCGATTGAGAGAGAGATGATGATGAGATGAAAAGTTGGATGGATGGATGTCTGTCAGTCATTCAGGAATATATATTGAGAAAAAGGAAAAAGGCTTGGCTGTCTCTATTTTCACATGCGTCTTTTTCTTTTAACATGATTTTTTTTCTCATTAAGTCACGCCTTACTTTCAATCATTGCGCCAACCTTTTTCTTTAATTTTCAATGCATTGTCCATGTCGCCCGAAATTCCTCTACAGTCAATCAATTGGTGTGTTCGATCGATGTGGAAAAAGACATTTTCAAACAAAAATTAATTAATTATTATCGATCACTTGATAATAATCAATATTATTTGTAGATGTTTCAAAAAGGATTGAATGCAAACAACAAACAACAGTATATTGATGATGATGATGATTGACTTGAGACAGAAAAAAGAAGAAAATAGGCGGAGCAAAGTGAAACAATAAACACACCTTTTTTTGGTTTCTGTTACAACATAAATCCTTTGAATACACAAAAACAACTTATTCTTATGCAGTTGGACATTGATCTTCAATATTTGATGATTAAGGTGGCCTGTTTTGTATTTGGTTCATAATGAAAAATTCAAGAATTTTCCCAAAATTACATAATTGTTTATCGTTACATAATACAATTTTTGAATAAAATCAGTGGTAGAAGTAAATAATATTGTTTGGATACTACCACTACTCATTCCAGGGGAAATTTGGAGGGAATTTTTTTTTGAAAAAAATCACCGAATAAAAAATGCAATTCTTGATTCTTCATTTAAGCCAGAAAATTCGATTCGCTTATTCGATGATGATGATTTTTGCTTTTCATTAAAAAAATTCAATGTTTAAAGCTGAATAATAATGACGAACCTTTTTTTCTGATTATTCTGATATTCGATGATGTTCGATGATGATGATGAATATATTGAATGAAAACTGAAATGGTTTGGGGGAAAAAATTTGATTTTGATTGACAGATGTCAGAATCCCCTCACTTCTCCTCCTTCGTTGGTTTAGCTCGGTTCAATATGATTTTTTTCAAAGAATGGAATGTCATGGGGGATATGCTTTTTTTGATGAAAATGATAAAAAGTGAAGAGAGTCCAACATTTACAATCGATGATGGGTAGAACGGTCGGGGCCACGAGAATTCGGTCATCATCATCATTGAATGAATGAATCATGCACAGATAGAAAACAAATTCAAAAGGCACGACTTTTTTCTCTCGTTGAACTTTGACCTGGCTCACTCTCTCATATCGGCATCAATCATGATTCAATCAAGAAAAAAATGAAAATTTGTTTTTTTCATGTTTTTTACGCTTGTTGCGTATTTAATTGATTTTTTTTTAATATTTTTTCAATAACATTTGTCGATAATAGATGGCAGCAGTGACTTTGTATACGAATTGAGGAAACGCATAAATCGGTGTAAACAACAAAAAATGTAAACACAGATGATTTTTGTTTTGTTTTTCATTTTTTGATCAATTTCTAAAACAAAAATTGAATTTTTATTTTAAAGAGTGATAATTTTTGAATTTTTCTTCCGTTGTTTTTCACAATGAATAATTGAAAATCAGCTACCAAGCCAGAAATCAAGATCAAGAAGAGATTTTTTTAAAAAATGTCACTTTGTGATGATAAACGTTTCATTTTATCACATATCCGTCATTCATTTATTACCTGTGATGATACTGGAATGTGTGAAACGGTTATGCTAAATGAATCGGCTAATCGTTATCCAGTGGAATCTATTTATCAACATTTTGATTATTATTCGGATGATGATGATGAATATTTCAACAACAATGATGACGACGATGATGATGATAATACCATCAATAATAATAATAATTTGAATGATCATCATCCCAATCAACAACAAAATAATGAAATTGAATTATTAAAAAGTAAGTAAATTTCCAGCGTTTTTTCAATCACACTAATCCTTTTATCGAAATAAACAACAGAAACCGAATTAGAATATCAATCCGAGTTGGTTGATGATGATCAGCAACAACCGACACATTCATTGGATATAATGTATGATTCATATGAAATCGGTATACGACGACGATCAAATACTGCACAAAAATTGGAAAAATTAAAAAAAGAACGTAAAGTACAATCAAAAACTAAATTAGTTCAATGGAAAGGTATGGCACCGATTGTTTCAACTGATGAACATGATGATGATTTAATTAAAATCAAACGTATCGTATTGGATGCCGAACAATTGCCACGAGAGGAACGTGATTTATTGGAATTTGATCCAAAGGAAAATGTTTATTGTAAGTAATAATCAATTTTGGTAATCTTTTTCATAATTTTGTTGTTAATCTTCTAAGATGAAACCGAAGCATATCGTGCATTTCTTTTTCCGAAAAAAGAAATCGAGTCATCTGAACAAACGCCCACCGATGAAATCTTCAAAGATTTGTCATCAAAACCGCGAAGAAAATCAATGCTTACACAACAAATCGAACAAACGCCGGTAGCACCGATGAATCCATTCAATGAATTCACACGTTTTGATGGCCGGTTTGTTGATAGTACCGTATCGACAAAACGTTTGCGAATATTTTTCAATATTTTAAAAAATAACACCGAATTCGAACCGTATGATTTTCGAGAAAAATTTCCACAATCCTTATCCGGATTGAATTGTGGTTCAAATTGGATCGAAGTTATTGTTCGGTCGGATGCACGTGTTTGTGATCTAATTGGATTGATTTGTTGGCATTATACACATCTACAAATTGGTCCATCACTGAAACCAAATCTAAAAGCATATGCATTAAAAATGTGTGAAGAAAATGGTGAAGTCGAAGATGAATTTCCAAATTTAGAATTTAATGATGAAATAAAACGTTATGATTTTCCTTGTTTGGCAATGATACCCAATGAAACCAGAATCATTGTCACTGTGTAAGTATAATGATGATTTTATGATAAATTTTCATTAATTCCGTTTTCATTAAGCCATATTGATTCGGAAGATGTATTTTCGCAATTTGTTTTCGATTCAACCAAAACACAATTGAATGAAATTATCGAACAGATCAAGAAAAGACGTCCACATCTTTTTCGTAGTAGAAATGTTGTCGATTGTCAGCTGGAATTATGTTCACAGCCCGGTATTTCATTGGATTTAGATTCAACTATTTCCCGATATCTTGGTAAACATTATCCACACAATCAATCGATCAATTTTTCATTGAAATTTTGGGAAAATTGTGCGAAATCCGATTCTGCCAAATCATCCGATACATTAACAATTAAAGAAAAATGTATGGTTTTGAAAAAAATTTTCTATTTTTTAACTAATCTTAATTCTGATTTCAATATTGTAGCTTCATCGTTGCCAAAAGGAATTTCAGGATTACGTCTGAATAAATCATCATCTGCATTGCATAATTTGGACACCAATTCGAATGCGGCCACATTGAAACCGAAAAAAATTCGTGATCCAAATGATTTCGGATCCAATTTTATCGATATAATGAAAGCACCACTCTATCAATGTTTCGATGTTAATCTAATCACAAAATTTACTAATTCACCAATTGAAATGGGTATTTCGGAAACTAAATTAGAAATAACACCCAAAATGAATAATCCATCTAGTCATTTTACTGGAAAATTTCTATCACGAATTCTGGGCGTCAAAGCAAGAAATATTAACATCGAAGATGTTGTTGATTGTGAATTACATAAACAAGGTATGTGTATCAAATGTTTTTTCATTTGATCAACAATGATTTAAACTTTCTCAAAAAAAATTTACAGTTGCATTAGGCCGACATATATTCAAAATTGTTTGTTGGAATGGAAAAATGTTTATTGAACTGAAATTTGAAGCCGATTCGAATACTGTTGATGAAATTGTTTTCAAATTGAAAAATGTAATGAAATTACGTACAAGCTTACGTCGAAATGAATATCAAATGTATAAAAATCGTAAAAAGAATATATCGACAAAAGTTTATTTCAATTCACGTTTGATATCATCCGGTTCATCCGAATCTGGCAGTGAAGATTTAATGACCGATATGGATATTGTTTCGGCTGCTTTATCGAGCAATTCTAATGATGATATTATCATTAATAATGCCAGTAATACAAGTCAAAATATTCGAAGTTCAAAATTTCGTCGGTTTCGAAGTTCGAAGAAGAATTTTTAATTGAAAAACCCGAACAAAAAGTGATAATGTCATATTTCCAAATAAGAGAAAAAAGCAAAAATTTTCAACCATAAATATTGTTAACATTTTCTTTTTTTTAATATTTACCTAATCAAGTTTTACACACAAACGCAAAAAGAAAGAGTTTATATCCTGTTTTTTTTAAATCACATTGCAATTTTTGATTGTTCAAATCAAATCACATTGATAATGATTGTGGAAATAAATTTGATTTGATGTTTTTAAAACGGATAAATGAATAATGTTTTTTTCGTTTCCGATAGTCAATATAATATCGAAAACTGCTGTTAACAAGCTGTTCATCATCATCATCCACGTCGAAATCAAGTTTGTCATCAGAAATTCATTATCATTATAAACTGCTAAACACAGTGTGGAAATAATTTAATGATTATTTAAAAGATCGTTACTACGAGTCGTATTTACCGGTTACCGAAAAATTTACTAAGCTTATGATGATGATCATTGATGGATCTATCATCACACATGTGTTTCATACCAGAATTTTGATTTTTGCAGAGGCTAACCTTATCGGTTGAACATCATCAATGGATAATAAGCGCAAAGATCATTTAGTACACTTGTGCGTTCAGTCCTTCAGGAAAATCAACATCATCAAACGACAAACAATAACAGGGCTAATGGTTTCTATGAAAAACGAAAAAATAAAAAATTTTGGCAACATTCTGTGAATGAAATGAGAAAAAAAGGTCATCACGAGGAGAATTTATGATTCTCAACCAACAACACACAGAACACTTTTAAAGATGTTTTGGAATTTTCAAATTTTCAATTGATAATGATGATGATCGAATAAATTTTCCTGAAAAATATGTATTTTCTTTGTCTGAACCATCTGGAAAATCTAACAATAAATGAATATCATGGCACACACATCATTCCATTCGGAAATCGATTAAAGTTTATTTTTATTTTTTTTATTTATTTGAAAATTTATACAACAAAAGATTTTTTTAATGACATAAAATATAAGAAAAAATTCTCCAAATTTCATTCAATGAATAAAAATTATTTATCGATCGTTTAGTTATTATTTTTTTTTGGTCAGGAATTTGAAACTGTCAACATTATTTATAATGTGAATCATATGAACCACTTTCGCCATAGCCACCACTTCCACCGCCGCTACTATAAGATCCATAGCTACCCATACCACCGGAACTACCATAGCCACCCATACTGCCGGAACCGCCATAACTACCTCCCATACTGCTATAAGAACCGCCTGAATATCCATCATCATGTCCATAACCATATCCTTGGCTAGTACTTCCACCATAATGACTACCATGTCCATAACCACCTCCATAGCTATGATGATCAATATGTCCACCATAACCATAACCATAGCCATTTGAATGTCCGCCATAACCGGATCCATAACCGCCCATTCCGCCATAGCCCCCTTGTCCACCATACCCCCCATGTCCACCTTGTCCACCATGAACATTGATAATATGTTGTTGATGTTCATGTACCGGGATATGTATCGGTATAATTTTTGTATGATGATATGTTTTTGCCTGTGGCATCATTATTGGTATTGGAACTTTGATTTACAAATAAAAAGAATCAACATTATATATTGACAAACTGAATAATTCATTCATTCATTTAACATACTCATTTTGTGTTCTTCGTGATCATCACCACCGCCATGACCGCCAAAAATAATTGTATCACCACCTTTACTCATACCCGATTCGACCAATACAATCGCTAATGATGATGAAATAACGATGAACAATAAAAAACGCATCTTTGGTTCTTGATGACACTAGCAAACACAGCACAGAATGGAAATTTTTGAAATAAGATTAAATATTATGATTTAAAAATGACACAGGATGGATAAATCGTGAAACATTCGTTTTTATATCAAAAAATTTATTTCATTAATTGGCTAATTAAATGAGAGAAAGAAAGAGAGAATCTTTTTCATATCTAAATCATCACGCAATATCAACAGCAACATTCATCAAACATTTTTTTTGTCTGAAAGAAAAAAAGGGACTAGCCTTATGGCATCTTATCATATTGAATTGGAAAAAATCATATATTTTCTGTTTTCATATATGCAATTAATGATAATTATCAAATCATTTTTATTTCTTTTCTTTTCTTTTCTTTTAATTACTGATTAAACCAAATAGCCAAAACAATGACATCTCTCATTAGAGCAATGCACAGGAGAAAGTAAAAAAAACCTGTAATAAAATAACTTAATCATCATTATTGTCAGTAACCAAAAAAAATTGGCGGATATATTTCCGTATTGCGGTTAAACAATATCGTGACCAAGAAAAAAATGAAATGTGACAATTATGACTTGAATTAATGTAGTGTGTGTGGTTTTTTTTTTGTTTGTTTTTGTTTTAATTACTCCGAAAATTGATTGAATAACCAAACAATGAAATAAAATTATCCCAAAAAACAAGTCATTATCGACGGTTATTTCGACGATAATGAGAGAAAGAGAAGGTTAACCGACGACGACGACGACAACAACTCTATATAGCCCGAAATCAAGACCATCATTCAATCAATCAATCAATTTCTTCTCAAATCAATAACAATGTTTATTTATTTATTTAGGCGAAAAGTAAATGAAAAATAAAAAATTTTCATCCAATTCAATTCGATTATAATGATGCTGTCAACACAACATTAATCATCATAAAGATCAGTTGTTTTGTTATTCAAATCAAATCAATCATTTTTTGAATATTGAAAAATGAGAAAAAAGTAAAAGTTTTCAAGTTTAATTTTCCATAATCATTGAAAAATCTGATCTGTTAACATATTTGGTGAATTCATGCACGACCAACAATTGAACCTGAACAATGTTTTTTTCCGGTTAACAAAAATCGGGAAATGATCGACAATATAATTCCTTTTAAAAAATGGAACGATAATAACGGAAAGTAAATATGTTACTTTAATTTTTTCCTTGACTATGATGGAATGAATATCACACAGAATATATGTTTGTTTAAAAGTAATTAATTTTTGGTTTCGTTACTGTTAATTAATTGCATGGTAAAATGATTTTGTTGTTGTTGACAAACAAAATGGTACAAACATTTTCTTGTCTGATGTTTTTCTGGCTGTTTGTATTTGAATATAAAAACCATTGGTTTTCCAAAAACATAAATTCATCTTGGATTTTTTCGTTGTTTTGTTTTTGTTGTTCAACTTGAAAATTTAAAAAATGAAAAATTCAAATTATCTAATTAATCTTTGGTTTTTATTGCTATTTTTTCATGTCATCATCATTCTGATAATAAATGTTGATGCAAAAAAGAAACGTGGTGATATTATTATTATCAGTGGACATCATAATGATCATCATGATTTTAGTAAGTAACATTTTGGATTTTTTAAAATGTTTTTTATTTTCATTCATTTTCAAAAAAATAGTACCAATACCGATACATATACCAATACATAAACCCATTTATAAATATTATCACCATCATCCAATTTTAATGCAATCAGGTGGTATGGGCGGAAAATTTGGTGGATTTGGATCCGAAATGGGATTAGGTGGTGGTGGCATGGGTGGCATGGGTGGAATTGGTAGCATGGGTGGTATTGGCGGCGGTGGCATGGGTGGTATGGGTGATAATTTTATGGGCGGTTTTCGTTGAATAAAGTCCAAACAGAATAATAATTTATCATCATTTTCTCGGATTTATGGATTATCATCATCATTTTATTCATCCAGACAGGCAAAATACAAAAAAAAACTGCTTTTTATTTTTTGTTTCCATGTTTTCATCAAACAAACAAACAAACATGGAAACATCAACAACAACTATTCTTCGGTGTGCATTGGTGACAATAGAATTTCATATTTTTTTTTATATTTGGAAAAAAAACGAAAAAAATAATAAAAAAATACCATGCTTTATATCCAATCCGATGATGACAAGCTGTTGTCCTGGTTCGAAACAAACACAAACATCAAACATCAACACACGCACATACCATACACACCATATCATACGAATCATTTTCAAAAGCAACCGAATAATAATAATAATAATAACCGTGTCCGTCGGAGCATGTTTCATACCGGATTCTTCATCCAAATCATCATCATCATCTATGCCTATGCACCAGATTCATGCAATATGACGTTTACCTCACCCTTGTTGGTTGGTTGGTTGGTCGTATGCATTCATCCATCCAATTCATTCATCGGATTTGATTTCATCCACATTTGCAACGTTTATCATCATCATCATCATCGTTTTTTTCCACTACACTTGCTTTATCAGTTTCAGAAAGATAGAAAAAATTATTTGTATTTCACTTTTTTTCGGTTTGTTTTCTTGACCAATTTTGAATTTGGGAAAAATAATTTTAAAAAAATTTACTTAAAACTAAATCGAAATATATGGTTTTTATTTTTGGAAATATTTTTTTAAAAATCTTGTTTTGTTTTACAATTTTTATTTGGAATAAAATTCGTTCGGTTTTTCAAATAATAATGATGATAATTGCAATGTGTGTCTTTTCAATATGTTTTTCTTTTGGTATATATTTAGCTGTGAAAATGAAATTCCTGAATAAATATGTATAATGTAATATATATTGATGATTGAGAATGATTCTATACTTTCTATTATAAACAAACAAAAAAAATGGAAAAGAAGAAGAAATGATTTAAACAGAAAAACAAAATTTTATAAATTAAATTGAATTATGATGCTAATGATGATGATGATGGTGAATAAGTAGACGACTAGCCAATTAATTGCAATCAAATCGAAAGAAAAATTTGTGTTTGAAATTCTCATGATGATGATGATTACAGAGAAGGATGATAATTTACGTATTTTTGGTTATTGTTGTACAATCAACATTCACATTCGGATGGATTATTAAAATAAGAACTTTGCATTGAATACAATTTATCGATTGGTGTCATATTGGTTATCGATGATGATGATGATGATGTATTGGTCATATGCAATGATGATGTTGTCGATGTTGTTGTTGTTGAGTGTAACATATTATTATTTGATCGACCATTTGAATGTTGTGATAATGGTAATGGCAATGATAATGGCGGTAGTTGTAGTGAAGGTGGTGGTGAAAACATTGATGATATAGGATTATTTGACATTATTGTTGTTAATAATGAACCTGATGATGATGATAAACGATGACAATGATCCGCTTCAGAATTCTGTCTCATTATCGAACTATTATTATCATCCAATTCACATAGGCTTGTTTCACTATCATCCATACAGCCCAATTCGCTTTTACAAGTATAAACATCATCTTCACCACGTCCTGAATAATATGAACCTGAAATAAACATCAATTTCAAATTAATTACAAATTGATTAATTAAACAAAAAAAAAACAATTTAATTACCAGCATCTGGACTTTGTAACATATATGGAATAGAAAATTGTTGTGATGATTGTTCATCATCATCATTATCATTTAAATCATCATCATCATCGTCGTCGTCATCATCATCTGATGTATCGTCTAAATTGAATAAAAAATAAATGTCACATTTTTTTATTGATGAACAACAATCAGACAAACCTTTTGATTTATCACTGGAACCTAAACAACCGCCTGATTCACTTCCATTACCGATTAGTATACCTGATGTTCCACCTTGTGACATTTGCTGTTGTTGTTGTTTTCTTTGAATTTTCTTAAGCTATGAAAACAATCAATATATAAGTGATCAAGCAATCAATCAATTCAATAATTTACCTTAGCACGTTGATTTTGGAACCAAACCTGAACAATCCGAACACTGAGGCCAGTTTCTTTGGCCAATGTTTCACGTACCTGTAATTGAAATTAACTTCTTTTAGAAAAAAATTTCTTTTAAAAAAATCTGATCTGATTACTTTACGACATGGTTTTTGACTAATTTCAAATGATGCTTTAAATGCACGACGTTGTGCTGTAGTTAATATTGTTCTTGGACGTTTTGGACCACGACGGCCATCTTGTTTGATAATTGTTGTTGGACTTGTTGTACTGTTGTTTTTGGTTAACATTAAAGAATTACTATTGCAATTATTATTGGTAGTATGGGATGGTGATTGATACGATTGTGATGATGAATTTGATGATGACGTTGGTGGTTGATTAGTAGATTGTTGTTGTTGATCATTTTTAGTAATGATCATTGGTGAATCACAGATAGTTAATGACCTTGCTGGTGGTGAATATTGATGATCCGATGAATTATTATCATGATTAGATTGATTTGATAATAACGATGGTGGTTGTAACATTGTCAAATGTGGTTTATTATCGGATATTATTGTTGTTGGTGAATGTGTAATGGATAATCCATTGATGATCATATCATCATAACCAGCAACAATATCATGATGATTTAATGATGGTAAATGTTGTGAATGCGAATGATGTGATTGTTCCATACCGTATGATGATGATGATTTTGATAAATCTATTTCACAAATTGGTTGATGTCCACGTAAGGCAAATTTATCGCCTTTTTTCAATTGTCGTTTACACCATATGCAGAAAAAACAGGATAAATGATAAATGAAACCATGTACACGCATAACTAATTCATTTGAATTGATTGTTTCCAAACAATTTGTACATTTTGTTGCATATATTCTATATGGAAAATTTTGGAAAACAAAACAAGAAAACAATGTTTAATTGTATATTCAATAACAAACATAAAAATGTTAGAAATTCTATTGATTCCATAAATATATCGAAAAAGGAAGCCTTACAAAACACTTTACTTTGGATATATTCATCATATATGAATAGAATTATTTCCTTATAATCGAAAATATGTTAATGTAAAAGACGTCTAACAAAAACCAGTCCTTGGTTGATTTCTAAATTTTCATTAATTTTTTTTTCAAATTTTATTCTATTTTTCATTGGCCACAACCATCTAATAAATGAAATAGACCGAAAAAAACATAATGATATTTATTTCTCATATCATCATCATCAGAGGTTTTTTAAAAAAAACTATTACAAGTCATAAAATTTGGTTGAATTTTATTATTATTATTATTTCTGTTGGACCGCTTATGGAGCGAATAATAATCACATATTCTTGTCGTATGGAATCGACAAACACAGTCGGTGTCGATTCCGTGTTTCGTTTTATTGTTGATTCTGTCCACCAAACACCCACACACACACACACAACGAAAGATAGAAAATTTCGACATTATAGATACACGAAAAAATTGGAAAGCACGTTCCACATTAAAAAGATAAAAATAAAAGGCAGAGTTCTTTCAACAAAAAAAAAAATTCTTTTTGATAAACAAAAAGGGATTCTATATATAAATAAATCTATTAGTTAAGTTAAACTGTTGTTGTTGATGTTTTGAAATTTAATTTTCTCTTTCTGGACAAAACATCTCTTTTTTTGGCTTGTCAATTTTCTCTACGTTAATCTCTCTCATTGATCCAGTTTGTTTTATGTATGTATGTTTTCCATTGATGATCATACTTAATGGGATGGGATGCAAGTTTTTTTCAATTTTCAATTTTTCGTTTTATATATAGGAAACGAGACTTTGAAAGAGAGAACAACATTAACATTTTTTTTTTGTTGAAAATTCGTGCTTTGTATTCCTGATACAAGATTCCAGATATAAAATTTTTAATCTCCTATTTGGAAACTGATTTTCAACCCGTTTTTTTGTGGAATTCTATTAATAACCGGTAGTTTCCAAAGAATTAATTCAATGAATGATTTTGTTTGCGATGGATGAAAAAAACCGAATACGAATTTCATCACAACGACGGAAAACAACGACAACAAAAAAGTCATTTGGATGCAAATGTTTTCTTGAAAAAGTAAACAAAAAACATTGACAAATAAAAAAAAATGCAAACTTCTTTTTGATAATTCTTCAGGTTATTCTTTCACACAAAAGCAAAGAAAAATAAAGTGGCTAAAAATTCAATGAATGAATGAAGAAAAACTTGACTAAAGCTTAACTAAAACAAAAAACGGTAAGCTTCCTATATTTTGTTGAACAATTAATCAATAAATTGTGAATCTAAATAGAAAAACGAAACAAAAATTTTGCTCATCTTGACGACAACTCTCAAGTGGTTTTTTTTTTGTTTTCAGATAAATAAATAAAAATACACTTCTGGCGCCCATCGTTTAAGTGTGTGATGATTTTCGGGTAAACAAACATATTAGATAAGAGAAAGAGAGAGATGTTTGTTTGTGTGTAGATAGAGCATCCGTCAATCACACAAACACAGACACATATAACATATAGGGGTCGATTCTGATTTGGATTTTTTCTTTTTCTGCAAATCAATGAAAAAGAATCGAAGAATATATGATAAAGAAAATTGTTTACACTGTTTCTATTTTTGATTATTATTATTAACTTTCTTTTCTTTTTCCTTTTTTTTCATCAATTGCCAATTCGATTCATTCAGAAATAAAAGAAACAGAAGTTTTTTTTCGTTTTGCGAATATCTTTTTTTTCCATTTCATTTCTTCATTTGTCTTTCTTTTGTTTCACTAACTCTTGAATCTTTTTTTTTCCTGACTCGATATTAAAACATTTGGAAACAAACGAAATGAAAATCAAAATGAGAAATAGAGAGAGGTGTATCTCAAGATATTGAAAACAATAAAAACTGATAGGAAATCAATCGACTGGGTGAAAAAATTGTGAACCTGTATTGTATGTTTGTGTGTGTGTGTGTGCGATGGATGCTCGAGAATATTATTATTATTATTAGGATTTCAGGTTGTGATTTCCACTTGATATATTTTGATAGAGAATCATAATATTCAAATAACCAAAACAAAAGTAAAAACTATACTCTTGACTATCAAATAAACTATATATTCACCAATATACCAGACCGATTGACTGAATAAAATCGTTCCGAAATCATCATCCAATGATGATAATAATAATGATGAAAAAAATACAATATTTTTTTGCACATGATTTGCATCCATTCATCCCATCATTGCGAAATGAAAAAAAAAGAAATAAAGAGAAGACTTTACAAAAAAAAACTTTATATTATGTTCGGAATATTATTCTTTATACTGTTTCATCAACAAATCAAAGGTGCATATGAAAAAACAAAAACAAACCAAGCCGATATTCCAGTCGTTTTTTTCAATAATATCTTATTGGATTGGAAAATATCATTTTTTTGGAGGAGAAACAAAGCAGAACAAAAAAAAACAATATTGAATTGCACCAGATGTATATAATTAAAGTTTCTTTTGTTGTTGTTCAGAATGATTTGAAGGCAATTCTGGATGATGAAAAAAATGTATGATTGTGATTTGTGAATCTGACCAGCTATACGATACCTGAACGAGAAAATATTCATCAATTTTTGATTAATTTTGGATTCTTATCATTCAAATTGTGTGGATGACAACAATCAATCGATTCGATTGATTGATTGATAAGTAAAACAAAACAAAAAAATCACTCGGGTAACCACAAAAAAAAATCTGAATACAGCTAATCAATGGAAACAAAAATCGTATTGTTTTTTTTGTGTTTTGTTTCACTTGAATTAATTTCTATTCTGAGATAATTAAATTTTTTGAAGAAAAAAAAAATTCAATTTTGCAATCAAACAACAAAGAGAGGGAAAGATTCTAATTAATCAATGATAATAATAACAAAAATAGAAGAAAAACCAAACAACAAAATCATTATTTTTGGCAAAATTTCATCGAAATCTCGAAACAAACAAAGATTGGCAAATTTGGCACCCACACAAACATGTGACTTTTGTTTTTTCATCAAACGAAAAAAGCGAAAATTCTTCAAACGTCATTCATCGAAAAAGTGAGTGAAGAAAATTCTTCTTCTTCTCTGAAAATTCTATCATTCGAGAGAAAATACAAACGAAATAAATAAATAAAAACAGACTTTGTACGAATGTTTTTTCGAATCAAATATGCCCGTAAGTCAAAAACGAAAATTTTTTTTTGTCATCCAAACAAACAAAACCAATTGCAACATATCAAACCAAAGCCAAGTCGAGCATCATCGATGTGTGATTATCATCATCATCATCGAAGACTTTTTCATTTCGGAAACAAAACAAAACAAAAAAATAGGAATTTTTATCAGTAAAGAAAAATATAGACTTTTTTTTGTTGGTTCCCATCTCCGCCTACTATACACTACCTACCAAATCAACACCATAGCAATGAATTGTCGTCATCATCATCATCATATGTAAATATTTAATATCCGGATAGCGAAAACGAAAAAATAGAAAAATAAATTTTCGAATGTTTATATGTGTCTATAACCGTAGTGTTTGGAAAAGCCAAAGAGAAAATAGTTTCAAGGCAGGAAAAAGACGAAAAAAAAATCCTCATCATTTTCAAGCATTGATGATGATGATGATGATAAAGTTCAAATATTAGGTTGGATCTTTCTTCTTTCAATAGCAACAGCATTTAGAATTAAAAATGAAAAAACGAAAAGAAACGAATTGATCAAAAATGATGATGATGATGATTGAGCTGTTAAACAAATAAATAAAGCTACTGAAAAGAATTGATTCTAGTTTGGTTGGTTGGTTGCTGGTGAAGTGATGCAAACAAAGCTGGAAAGAAAAAAGTGTCCGAAAAATCCCAACGCCACCTTTTTATTTATTCAATTTTTTTTCTTTGGTTCACAAGAAGTGTGCGTGTGTGAATGATTTTTTTTTCTTCCAAAAAAAGAATTGTAACAAAAATAAAAGATCAAATCAGAGCAAGTGTGAACAAATCCTCAGGCATTTTCTCACCACAATTATTCATTATTCATCATCATCAGTGTGGTGATTGATTTTTTTTGAAGAAAAAATGATTCAATAGAAATTAGAATTTTTTTCATTTTAAACCCGTCACAACTCTTTTCTCATCTAAAACATTTTCGTTCAGCAGAATATTTCAAAATATTTTAGCCAGTGAATGACAAAAATGGATCGATAAAATGAATGAATAATATTCAAGGACTAAGGATGCTAATGATTCTCGATATGATAACACACACCATACGCTAGACATAAATACCATTCATACCAGGATAGGTTAACTGAATTTTTTTTTCAACTTTCAGTCATCGAATAACTAAACCAAACCAAATGACGATAATGTTTGTCGATCATCATCGTAATCATCCTCAGGAAGAAAAAAAAATGAAACGCGTGTGTGTTATGCTGGATTGGGATGTTTTTTTTTCGAGAAAAAAAGGCAAAAACAAATTCTTCAAATTCCTGAATGTCTAAAAAGATGTGCTCATTTTTTAGACAAAAAAAATAGGAAAAAAATTCCCATTCTACAGATCAAAACTAAACGAAACGAAAAAAAACAGGACAAAAAAAGCAAAATTCCACATCCAAATTCACATTCATTCATTGATCATCATAAAGGCACATTCTAGGGCTAAAAAGAATGAAAAAAAATGTTTAAGCCACATGCAGGCAGGCAGGAAGGCAAACAAGCCGAAAAAAATGTTGTTGTTATCGATGAAATGCGAATAACCAGGGAAACACGAATCTGAAAATATTTTTTCTTTTTTTCCTTTTTTGACATTCTGCATTTTGCTTCACATCAAAAAATATGCTTGTTTGTTTGATGG